GTATTTGTGGCACTGTTCAACATACTGTGAGTAATGTGGGGTGAAAAAAGTGTAGTTTTACCAAGCTGTGAAAGAAAATAAAGGATCAAAACTTGTAGATTATGAAATCGATGCAGATTTCGCTTCCGATATTGACGATTCTGATCTGTATGAAGTTCTGGTGGCGCTATAAAAGTTAAAGAGGAAAGAAAACTAAATTGTAATCCGTATGTGACGGAAACGGGCAAAAATCTGCAAAGTTTCGAAAACATATTGACTGTAGTAAATGTCGGTTTAGATAAAGAAATAATTTTTCATGTGAGGACAGAGTTTTAATGTGTAAAAACTTCATTACCACACAGACAAGCCATGTCAAGGAAGTCAAGAACACGAAAGTTTTTCCAGAAAAAAGAAAGAAATGGACAGTTTGTGTCGATATTTGCAGGATAGGAAAGTGTTTTGTATACAATATAATCTTTTTTCGTGCCAAAACGAGTCAATGTCTATTAGAAAAATAGATCAATAATAATAAAATCAAATTTGTTAAAATAACAAATTATAAAAAGTTTCTTTTCAAGTTGATATTGTAGCAGCTATGGAGTTTAAATTCATCCAAATTTAGTGTTTATTAATTATCAATTTTTATAACATTACTATTTTTTTAAACATATCGATGAACTTGACATTTGTCGGAACTCTATGTGGCAACATAGGTCAGTACCTTGCATGGTAGCCAATTAAGGCTGTCAAAATAACTAAAAAAAAAAAAAAAGTTTTATATAAAGCCATTGTCACACTCGTTTATCGTAAAAATGTAGTATAAAGTAAATTGAACAATAGGGTGTGAATTAATAAATGAGTGGAGCAAAATATAGAGTAAACAATATTGGAATGAAAGTGTTGTTGAAATCAAGTTTAAATAAACTCCTCCTTATCCTGTGGCGTACCACCAGTAATGAAGCACAAAACCAAGACTAAAAAATTACAAAAACCAGTGTGATAATAACGGACTTTATAAAACATGTGTTTTAATAAACTACTAACTCGAAAACGACGATATAAAAGGCTTGGCAGTATACCAAAACATGAAATCTAGAATTTATGTGCTGTTATAATACTTATCACATGATCGAAAAAAAACATCTAATAGGTCACGAAAAATTTATTTTCAAAATAATGACGCTCGCATTGCAGCTATTTGACAGATTGGGTTGGTGTTGCCAACATATTTTTTTAACATGAAATTTATTTTTTCTAGATCATATTGAATTTGACTCGTTTTTTTAAAGAATTCGAGTTGTTTTTTGTTTTTACAATGGCGTAATTGAACTGATTTTTCCACACTTAACTCCAGAAAAAAAACTGGTGCAAAGTTATTTAGACAGAACTTTCCTCGCTCCTGAAATACAATCAAACAATTCAGTTTGGGTTTCTTGACCAAATTATAAAGTTCTAAGGTACAATCACAAGACGGATTCATGAACCACAGGTACAGAAGTATGTTATTTTATAAAATTTAAATAAAATAAATTTTAATTTGCAAAATTTTTCGATGCTGTCATCAAATTGTTGGTGGGGTATCATTAGACAAATTTTGGTTGGCGTGGTTTCATCTATACGATATTCCAATATACGTCTAAATTTTCACATCCATCAGCTGAATACTTTCGGAAATTATTTATTTAATAAAAGCACTAAACAGACAAAAATGGAAGACCTACTTTTTCAGAATCTAAGGGCTATGAAACGTCGAGAAATCATGAAATCAGCCATTCGTCGGATGCACCCTATTACAATACTTCCCTCGCTTAAGCTGGGAACGTAAAAATATTACAATATAATGACGGCGTTGTTTATAATCTCTTCTTTACTTGTATTAAAAGAATATATTGATTTGAGCACTAGAATTCTTTTTTCATTAGATTTTTCAAATTTTCTAACTACGTTTGTAATTCTTAGTTTAAGAAAACAAAATGAAATCAAGAGGTGTAAGATGCGGACTACGGTTTAATATGATACTTTAGTTGTAATTTGGAAGTTAATAAAAATATCAAATTCTGTTTTTTTTTCTTTAATTACATTAATTTGAAAATATCAAAATTATTACATCGCTATAAAAAAACGACTCAGATACGGTTAAAAATATACAGGGTGTTTCTTTTATTTGATACAACCCCTGTAACTTTTTTATTCTGGAAGATAAACCCGTAGTTCTTTAACCAAATTTGTATCATTCTCAAAGATTCATATGATGGTAAGCACACATTTTTATTATCACTGGCGGTAGAACCGGAAATGACGTCAACTTATGTTTTTTTAATGGAACACTAGGTATATTTTTTCATATATGGAAAGATTGATTTTTTCACTACAAAAAATCACCAGCAACCAATATTCTAAAATCAATAATAAAAAAGTTATTTAGTAAAATATCTCCAAAATTTTCCGTTTATTTCAAAATCTAGTTGCTTGAAAAACAATTGAAAAATTGTTGCCATCACTAGATCTTTTAAAATGATACAAATTTGCTCAAAGAACTACAGATTTATCTTTAAAAATAAAAAATTTACAGGGGTTGTATCAAATAAAAGAAACACCCGGTATATTACTAGCATCCACACGCCTGTATTTTTGACAGTTTTTGCTGATAAATACTGTAGTACAAAAATGCTTTCTTATTACTCAAACAAATCTACCCTATATTTTATTTTCACATCTTGTTCTATTTTTTGTTCTCTGCCTTTTTTTGTATTTAAAGTTGATAGTTACTGCGAAATTTTTTTACTCGCCATATTAGAAGAATGGGAGCAAAAAATAGAGTAAGAAACAGTCATAAAATACAGTGTGTACTATTTGAAAAAATTGAAATAGCGATATTTGAAAATTGTAGTTTTGCATTTTTTTAACACTCTGTATACTAAAATGATTTTATTGTTTTTACTGATACCACAACAAAGCACGTACCTTTATTTATCCTTCCATAAAATATTGTAAGATATACCTCAAAAATAACTCTATTGCAATTTTTGTGGCAAAAAAATTTAAAAAAATTGGAATAACGTGGCAACGTCGCATCGGAATTTCAAAAGTAAATGTAGTTAAAAAGCCTAGGAAGAGGCTAATGAGAATATGTCAAAATATATAGGTTGTTTCATTTAAAAAAAACTAAGTTATGTGTTACATCTTAAAAGCAGAACACTGTATAGTTAAGAATAATTTTAGAGTGTACTCCTTTCAGAACCGTTTAACTGAAATATCGATATTTGAAAATTGTAATAATTAAAGATTTTTTAGAAACACTCTGTATACGAAAGTTTTTTTTGTGAATCCTTACATTGCTAAAAAATTCAAGAAAATGAAATAACGTGTCAACGGTATTTCAAAACTAAACTGTAGCTGTGAAGCCCGAGAAGAGGCCAATCAAAATATGTAAAAAAACGAAGTTATGCGTCATGTCTTAAAACCAAAACACCTTGTGTAGCTAAAAATTATTTTAAAGTATGGTCGTCCAAGAACAGTACAATTTTGGCCTTCGATTTTTTTTCTACTTCTAATAACTAATACACAGCCTTAGAGGTGGAATTTTCAAAAATTCTTTCTTATTGTTCACCTAAGATGTAACACAAATCTATTGTTCAAATTTCATGTTTCTAGCTTGAGTAGTTTGGGCCCTGCGAATGAGTCGGTCAATCAGGAGTTCTCTCTTTATTATGCATATTTATTAGTATAGATTTTATGCGAAAAAAATTGTCTGGAAAAACTTGGCAGTTGCACGCTGCGGTCAAAAAAATTGCATGATTCTTACTTTCAGCGACACAATTATTATATTAATCTTTAGATATGTAAGTATATAGCCCTGAAAATATTTTTATTGTTCTTAAATATTCTACCAATAGGTTCACCTTTTAAAAAACAGTTCGTCGAGAAATTACTTGTATTTTTACATATCCATACAATCGAAACACTTTTTACAAAAAAAATCTGTTGATCTTTTTGTTTTCATACATCTAACTAAATTAATAACATATCTAATATATATGTATCAAAAACGCTGAAGACAGTTTTGGAATTTTTTTCGTACCTGTGCTGCTAACTGCAATTCAAAACACTAAAAGGACAATCCTCTATTTGACCCTAAGTATACTATGACCTTTTTGGAAATCAAACCATCCATATGGGGTATATTGACCTCCGCGCGTAAGCGAGCAACACCCCTGGCTGAGTGTACATTTTCAAATTATTGAATTCGATGAACATGTTATATTTATGTTGAAGTTCAAAAATAAATGAGTGTGAATGAATCACCGTGTATACTTATTACTTAATGAACGTAAGAGGTACTACATTGCTATGGCAATTTTTTTAATATGTATCTCGATCGACTACAAATCATCCATAACTTTGACACGTCTATAAAATCGTTTTATTATTGCAACCAATTAAAAATGATGAACGTTTTAAGCACAGTCGTTTCATACGCGTTTAATCAACTGTGATTTCTAAACTACCTGATAACACATACATTTTTTTTGTTTTTTTTTTTTAACAATCAATAATAATGAAGCACACTGAAAGTTTATTTTACGAAACACAAAGAAAACCTACACGTAGTTAAAATCTAAAAGCAAGCGTGTCGTGTTTTTAAGAATTAATAACTTTGGTTCTTTATCTCCACAACTTTCATTATTCAGTCTAGTTTGAAAAGTTCTGAAACAGCGAAATAAGCGGCCGCAACTTTTGCTTTAAAAAAAACTTCTAAAACTTCGAAAACGGCAATAACTATGGTTTGAGTAACCGAGTGGAAACCCCAAAGAACGAGTCTGATAAACCACGTGACAAAAAGTCGCGGAACATTTCAATTTAGAGTGAAAGGGGAGACGGAAAAATGGACGGGACGATAAGCCAAGTGGATGATAAATACGTGGAGGGCGCACTACGAGAGCGATAATAAATTTTGGGACTGTGTATACACACATAAAAGTAGCAAAACCAACGACCGAAAGCGAATAAAATATACTCACGGATCTGTCGACTGGAGGGGTGTCCAGCCGTAGCTGCAATAAATCCTTCATTTCGTTCATCAAGTCGATCCTGGGGAACTCCAAATTCGGGCTGCCACTGCGGGATGGATCCAGTTCATCAGGTGATATGGGCTGGGAGGTGGGACTGAGAGGGCTGTATGACCTATGAAAAAATAAGAGGCTATCAGCCGGCATAAAGTGGCTAAACAAACTGCCCTATATAATTAAATTGATAATACTGACTAATTTACCCAACGTATTACTGCACAAGAAATTCCTGAGCTTTAATAACACGAGCTTAATTTTGTTTTTCAATACATAGTACCAAAAGATGATGTCATTTCAACGAAAGTAACTAATTTTGTGTTTTTTTTTGCTGTTTTACAATTCGTAGAAGACGCAAATAGAGGTTTCTTTTTTCATTTGTTTCTTGGTCGTGAACTGTTTCTTGGCGGGAAATAAAAACACTAAATAAAGACATTACTGACTTATTTGAACGATTATCTCAAAAATCTCTACTCAATTTCTCTGAAATTACCGAACCATAGCAACACTTGTGTTACACTGTACCTACATATCAAAATTAATATAAGAGACGAGCAAAAAAAACCGTTCTGAAATTGGCGTGGAACGAGTAAATTTCTTTCTCATCGTCTGCTATTTACAACGGGAAATAAGAAATACGGCGACAATTCCAGCGCCAATTAGAGGACGATCTTTGTTGATTATACCTTATTAATCAACACCAAAAAAAGGCATCAATCCTTGTATCTTCAAAAACGAAGGAACAAGGAAACTAAAAAACATAATTAAAATCTCAAACATGTCACTTTATCTTTAAGAACAGAAACTTCTTTTCAGTATTTCGTATTGAGGTATTCGTTGTAACGTTTTCAACTTCAGACTACTGAAATTAGTTCGCTTGCAGTTAATTACACCAAGATATTTCTAAACGGTATTAATTTAGCTTCGTCTGTTGTGCGCTCATTTGGCTATTTACTCAAAGGCTATTTCACGTTGTTTTAAACAACTAAAATTTATCATCGGTGCTGTTAATAACGTCTCGGGTTAAATTTCATTCCTACAAATAGTTCGAAACTCTGAAAATGGTATCTTGTAAAATAGACTTACACTAACAACAACAACCAATGAGGCCATCGGAATGCGATGCAGTCGATCTGAAGCTTTTTACTTTGTGCATGGTCATATCGTCATGTCACATCACATGAAATTTATCGTACGTGTGTGACATGCACTTACGACATTAATAACGTTGAAATACAATAATACAGGGTGCCGCATTGGAGTTTGGACACAGGGCATTAACATGGGGAATTGGTTTTTATTTTATATATCTCCCCAGGTCACTTTAATGCTGTTATTGAGTGATATCAAAATTAATTTAGAAATTATTCCTTGATTCTCACTCAGAAATTACTAAACAACTCAAATTGAATTATTTTTTTCAATGTGGAGATTCAGGACAAATTGGTTCATTTATTGGTACTGAGTGCAACACATGAATCCCTCCCAGGCCGTATCCAAGAAGCTCGAAATGAAACCCTTCGAGCAGTTTGTCTTCCTTAACACTTCCATCGGCATCGTCATGGGAGTCCGTCAAGCTAGGAATTTACTAGCGCTATCTCACTACTCAGAGATCACTGAATAACTCAATTATTTTATCCAGTGTGATTATTGTAAGATAAATAAAACGGAATAAATGCACAATTTGCAAAAAATATTTTATGAGGTTATTGCTAGTGCCAGTCGACTTTAGTAAGTTTTTATTACTAAAATCTCATTGCGATTAGATGAAAAAGCAAGGGTATGCTTGTTTTTCAAGGGTTAATTTAATCAATTAGTAATAATTTTCATGACAATATTGTGAGATGCACCTACATACACGTTTGTTCATTTTTTCGGCTCCGTGCATGCTTAAATATCACATGAAACTTAAATATCAGAGAAATGTAGATATCACTAAAGATTGGAAAACTACATTTATTTTCAACGGTAATAAAAACTGTCTAAAATCGACCGGTACCAGTAACAATCTCAAAATATTTTGTGCAAATTGTGGATTTATTCCGTTTAATTTGTCCTACAATAATCATCACACATTTTTGAGTGAGAATCGAGGAATAATTTCCAAAATACACGTTGACATTTCGGCTAATCCAAGAACGCGATCGTTGAACTGCGACGGAACGTTTCGCGACAAATCGGACTTAGCGCTAATTTCAAAATACGATTTTAAAGCCTTTTTACAGGAGTGGGCGCGAGTCAATGAGTTGAAAAAAATACTGGCCGATACCCCTCCTTTACCTCCACAAATGCATCACTCAATAATAACTTTAAATCGATCTGGGGAGATACGATAAAATAAAAACCAATTCCCGATGTTAATTTCCTATGTCCAATCTTGGATGCGGCACCCTGTAGTGGATCAAAACAGACAAAGCTTCGAGTATTTATTAATTATAAAACAACAATAATTTGATAATGTGAAGAATGACTGTGTTATTTCTTCTTATAAAAAATGGGTTCTAGTGATAAAAAATTGGTAGAAGGTTATTTCGACAGGACTTCCTTCGCCTCTTAAGAATTCAACAAATACTGTTTCTTTGAAAACTAAAAAAAAGATTTTGCGAACTCTGTTATTTGTGATAACCTTTATACAGCACGACAAATATAAAATCAAATAAGTAATATCCATAAAAGTGTAGAAAGTTAAATGACATCTTATAAATGTCTTTTGACATTTTATAATTTTTTTGTGCTTGCCTACGACACCCAATTTTTTCTTAATGACACTATATATTTTTTAGAATTCTCGTAGAGCTTGTTTTTCTGAATTCATTAACGTATCATGCTTTAATCAATCAGACTCCGGCACCGTGTATGATTCGAACGGATTATGTTACGAAAACATACTCGTTTATATTTGGTCTGGAGTGCACCTAAAATATTTCTAGCAACATTATTTCAGCAAAGACATGTATGTCAATTCCGACACGTGCACAATTAATAATACTACTAATAAAACACTGAACTGTACCGTTCTTGAGAAATTTAGGGGATAAACGTTATATTATTAAATGAAATTTGATTGATTTTGTCTCCTCAGTGCAGAAGAGAGGACTGATTAATCAATCACACTCAGTTTTTTTCCCAAAAACACTAATAAATTTGAAGAAAAAAATTATAAAATGACAGACCAATTTTGATTAACGACTTACCATAGTTTCATAACCTTAAAATATTTCCAAGATATCACAAAATTGTATTTTGCAATTTCACCGTTAAATTGTAAAATATTGGAACACCATTTTTTTTTACCAAAAATCTGGATGCCATAAATCACACGAGTACTCTGTTTTATAAAATTTAAAGAATATTTATTCGCCAGAACTGTAAGACGACGTCATCATTTTTGAGGAAGGCTAAAATGGAATAAATTTTGATTAACGATTTATCGTATTTCTTATAACCTTAAAACGTTTGAAATATTCCAGAACTTTAGGTTTTGCAATTTCAAAGTTAAATTGTAAAATACAATTTTGGATTTTTTTCTAAAAATTTGGATCTGGAAAACTCAACATAGATTCTTAAATTATACATGCAGAAGTATGTCAATATATAAAATTTAAGTAACATTTACTTGGCAAAATTATAAAATGACGTCATCATTTTTAATGTTGTTATACATTTTTTTTTTTTTTTAAATCTGGATGTCGACGGTAAAAATCCAACACGGATTCATAACCACATGTGCAGGAGTAATTATTTTATAAAATTTAAATAATAATTACTAATTTATGTACATTTTGGCGATGATGACATCCTATTGTGAGTGAGAATGAATAGCCTAATTCTGTCTAGCGTTTCTACATGTTATTCCTAACACATATATAAAATTTGACCACAATCGGTCCAGTTGTTTCGGAGATGACCTGTCTAATAAAAAACCAGACGGAAACGGAATATGTACCTATTTTTTCGTACACTAGAGGTCATGTAACGTTGAGAAAACATAGTAGCTCGTCGTCCATTGGATTCGATTACAATAGTCCGCTAGCTTACGCTCAGGAAGTAAAAATCTAGCATTTTCCAAAGATCACAAAGTATTCGGAGAATAATCACAAATTATTACATCGGACGAATGGCCACTTTTATATTTTCTCGAAGTTTCATGACCCCTAGAGCACGAAAAAGTAGTCTCCCGTTTCCGTCTGTCCGTCTGTCTGGTGTCTGTATCCATTTTTATTAGGCAGGTAATCTCCGAAACTACTGGACCGATTGTTGTCAAATTTTGTATATAGGTATATTATAATTATAAATATAATGTAGATCGTTAAATCATCCCCACCAATAATTTGATGACGTCATTTAAAAAAATTCTATGTTTATTTGATCTAACTATTGTACAACAATATAGTCCTATAAGTGTGTAGCGGTGTACGAATCCGCTTTGAATTTTTCCATAATGGTCCAAATTTTCGCAAAGACATAATACAGGGTATAAACATGTTACCATTAACGTACTGGTAAGTAATTTAATCAATGCGTAAGGCAACCCGGTGGTGGTTTTGTGGTTACGAATGAATGTGGACCGGAGCTTTTCGTTTTTCCCTTTTTCTATCGCGTTATTTATGTTTATGACGTCATAACAATTTTTTTTAATGAAATTACCCCACATTCTCGAAACGTGAGGATACACTCATCTTTATTTAAAAATGTAAAACCTCGGGGATGCCTAATGTCTTTTTTTTTAGAATGTGAAACTTTCTCGGGGACGCCAAATGTCGCTTTTTAAGAATGTGAAACCTTCTCGGGGGTCCCAATTGTCATTTTTAAAAATGTAAAACCTTTCCGGAGGCCTCAAATGTCTTTTTTATATGAAACCTTCTCGGGGGTCCCAACTGTGTTTTTTAAAAATGTACAACTTTTTCGGTGGCGCCAAATGTTTTTTTTTTTTAATGTGAAACCTCGGAAATCCCAACTGTCTTTTTCAAAAATTTAAAACCTTCTCGGGGATGCCAAATGTCTTTGTTTAATGTGAAACCTTCTGGGGGGTCCCAACTGTTTTTCTTTTAATGTAAAACCTTCTCGGGGGCCCCAAATGTATTTTTTTTAAGAATGTGAAACCTTCTCGGAGGCCCC